TGTTGTAGTTGAATATTGTTACTTGAGAGTTTGATGTGCTGTGAATTGCATTTAACTTGGATTTGTAATTCGTATGTTAACAGGATTTAGATATCTCAGATCGATCTGTACTCTACAGTGTGGATGAGCCAACTGTTCGAAGTCTCAATGGGTGCCGGGTTGCTGATCAAATATTGAAACTAGTGCCTAATGCTGAGGTAATCCTACTTTTTCCTCGTGTTATGGTGTCTTTAAATTACCATTGAATTTCCATGTTTTTTTCAAAATTTTGTAGCACTTCCGCACGACTCTTAGATGTCTCAAGTTTTGGGCAAAAAGGCGTGGTGTTTATTCCAATGTGAGTTCTTATTCCTTCAGCCCCCTCACTGGTTTGTCTATAGTATTCATAAGCTGGTCAGTTAGTGAGCATGGTTTTCTGCTTTCCTCGTGCACCCTTTATTCAGGTTACCGGATTTCTTGGTGGTGTCAATTGGGCTCTTCTGGTTGCTCGCATTTGCCAGTTTTATCCTAATGCCGTCCCCAGTATGCTTGTTTCTAGGTTCTTCAGAGTTTATACACAATGGCGTTGGCCAAATCCAGTGATGCTATGCCCAATTGAAGAGGATGAACTTGGTTTTCTTGTTTGGGACCCTCGCAAGAATCCAAAAGACCGAACTCATCATATGCCAATTATAACTCCTGCTTATCCTTGCATGAACTCCAGCTATAATGTCTCGCCAAGTACTCTTCGAGTAATGATGGACCAATTTCAGTCTGGTAACAAGATTTGTGAGGTATGGCTTAAAATTTAGTGTTGTTTTCTTCTGTTTTCACTGTACTGACTCATTTTGATTGGTAGTCTTGCTGTTTTTACTTGGTTCTTTCATCCAGGAGATAGAGTTGAATAAAGCACAGTGGGCCGCGCTTTTTGAGCATTATCTTTTCTTTGAGGTGTACAAAAACTATCTGCAGGTTGACATTGTAGCGGCAGATAATGATGATTTGCTAGCTTGGAGAGGCTGGGTGGAATCCCGGCTTAGACAACTAACACTAAAGGTGAGAATTGTAAGCACTAAAGGGAAAAGAAAGAACTTTAGGAGGTTAAATTGGATTCAGTTGTCGGGATAATGATATTTTGTTTTCTTTTGCTTAATTATGTTGATGAGAATTGTAAGCACTAAAGGGACAAAGAAAGAATTCTGGAGGGAATTTATTTAACTCAGTTGTCGTGATTCTAGCGCTGGAACTCATGCTTATCCTTTGATGCATTTCAGATCGAGCGTGACACAAATGGGATGTTGCAGTGCCATCCGTATCCTAATGAATTTGTAGACTTGTCTAAGCCATGTCCACATTGTGCTTTTTTTATGGGCTTGCAGAGGAAACAGGGTGTAAAAGTGCAAGAAGGACAGCAGTTTGATATTCGTGGCACAGTTGATGAGTTTAAGCAAGACGTAAGCATGTACACTTATTGGAGACCAGGCATGGATATCTATGTATCTCATGTTCGGAGGAAGCAAATTCCTCCATTTGTCTTTCCAGATGGGTATAAGAGACCACGTCAATCTAGGAATACAAGTCATAGTACTCCTGAGAAAGTTGCTAGAGGCTGCATGTCTCCTGAAGAAAGGCATCCGAAGAGGAAGCAGGAAGATGAAACAGTTGGTGTAAATTGGGGAAAACTAGGGAAACGTGCTTCTATCAGCCCGCAAAGGATAGGGTCTGTTTCTCCTTTAGGTGGTCCTAGTAGGTCTGATGGATCATCACAGATAATCATTTCTGACGAGTCACAGAAGGAGCTTGAGAGTTCTTGCCTACTGGACAGTTCTGATGATAATTCATTACATAGGTGCAGCAGAAACGATGCCTCTCTGATTGACAGTTCCATTTGTGCACCTGATAGTTTAAATTATACGATGTCAAGGAATTCCACTTTATCCGGACTTCCCAGAGAAGTTGATTTAGATAGTTCTAACACAAAATCCTTCCCAAGCCAAGAGATGCTTAGTCCGCTCCAAGACATTTGCACTAGAAATGTCCAAAATTTTCAGGTGTTGCAGAATGATGAGAAGGGGGAGATTTTGGGATCACTTCATCTGGATAATGCTGGGCAGCTCAATGAACCAGGTGTTCAGACTGGTTGCGCAGAAAGAGGTGAAAGAGTGCCTGTATCAAATTCCAACATTCAAAACCTCACTTGCGAGGTGAGTCTCTCTGTTTGCGTGTTTCGGCTCTTGAATTGTAGCTGATGGCAGTGATTTATGGAAGTGTTGAAGATAGTGAGAGCTAAGAGTCCTTTCAGGGTGATATAAGCTTGGCTGACCGGATTTCACAACTAGGGGATGGATGTTTAAGTGGGAATGGAGTCTTGGGTAATGGCTTGGCCGAGAAGTCACAGGTGGAGTGCAGAAGTCTCTGGTCTAATTTTTACCAATTTTTCATCAAACCTATACTGCATATATGAGTTTCTGTTATTACTGTTCACATGCCTATTTTCCAGTGTTCAATCTCATTTTCTTTTTGTTAGGGTTGTTATGACTATTGAAGAGCTGGTCATATCATCAGCTGTGTAGTGGAAAATTCATCAAGTTGGGTTCTTTGATTGTGAGCATGTCGAGACTATCCCAATCTTGAAAATACAAAAGCTGGGGAATATGTCATGATCTTGGATTTATGATTGGACTATACTCGGCTCCTCGAAAAGCAATGTTTTTTATTTTCCTTTTTTTTTAATTTGAAAATCATTAATTAAATTTGATGGTTTTACGCACGTGTGTCTGACCAATACATGCTGGTGTGTTCTGCTAGCTTCCTACTTCCCTAACTAGCTATGAAACATGTATAGTACATGGTGTGCTAAGAATTTGCATCTGGCTTTATATTTGGTATATTTTCAGGATGGAGAACTTACTCATTGTTCGTCGTTTTCTTTTTTATAGCCAAACCATTCTCTCGCAAGGGCAATGGAATCGCAGGATGGGGCTAGCTCAGAGGCTGTGCAGGAGCCTGCAATAAGGCATGTGTTTCTGTGGCCCTGTGTTTTATGATTTGATAGGCTATGTTATCTTTATGCTTTCTTGCTTTGTTCCTGTCGTGGTTTCTTTCTAGTAGGTTGAGTCTGGAATCAACAGCTTGAATTTGGGAAGGCGTTCCAAAGATTGGCGTGTTTCAGAGCTAGTGCGTTTTTCGAAAATGCTTGCTCGGAAGATGGTTGGTGAGGTGTTTGGATTAGTTCAAGCTCACATTTTAATGTGAGAAGAGGTTGCAGATTATGGCGTGTGGATTTGTCTTCAGGCCAACTTTGAAGTTGGATGAAGATGAGAATCTGTGCCTTTCTAACCCCCCCTCCCCTTAAAAAAAACCAAAAAAAGAAAAAAAAGGAGGAAAAAAGAAAAAAAGGAAAAAACAGGAGCCGTGCCTGCAGTGGGTCTTCAGTTGAAGCTAAACCAGTGTCCTGCTTAATGCTGCTGCAGTCAAGAGCCAGCATCGAGAAGAGACCGCTGTATACATTGTGGGTGTAGTCTGCTTCATTTGTTCAGAACCAAAATAGCTTGTGAATGTTTAAAAGGGAAGAAAGAAGTGTAAAACCCGGATAGTGGCTACTTTTTTCTATTTTGAGGGTCTAGAAAAGACTTATTTCCTTATATTGTGATGTAGGAAACCTTAGTTTTCGTAGGTGGTATTCCTTTGTTTAAATTTTTTATTACCTGACAAGATTATAGTAAAAAATCTGGTATATTTGTAGTTACTTTTCCTCAACTCATAGTCTCATATTATGTGCCTGTAACAAAACTCTCTTTATAGAGTCCTGACATGACATCTTCTGGGGGTAAGGTATCTTAGCAGTCTGTATTCCCATGCGAATGGTGACATTATGCTATTCTAGACTTCCCTCTTGATCCAAATCAAAGAATCTGGTTAAATGAGAGTCGTGCTCTCCTCTCATCCGAAAGGTCTACAATATAAGGCGACGAATTGCCCCACTAGACAAATCCTGACCTTCTCAAGGACTTAATGAATTCTTTTTTTTTGAGAATTTTGATGCTTAAAAGAGGTCAGATGTCAAGGTTAAGGCCATAAGCAGTTGGTTCCTCCGGCAAAAATGACGGTAAAAATTGTACGGGTACCCTATTTGGTCGCCCTCATTTAATCTATACCCATATTTTTAAAATTATTTAACCTATATCCTAATTTTTACAACTTCAGGCGCCTCCTTCTTCTGCTACCTGTGCGCTCCTTTCTTCCTCCTTTCTTGATAGTAATCTTTCAAGTTGGTGGGAGGCGAAACTCATGCATCATCCAATGTGTTTTTGTGCCTTTCCCAGCACTTCCTCGATAATATACTAAACATTTTTTGAGGCCAATGATGCAATCGTGATTTTGTGATTTGGTAGTAGAATAATCAGGCTTGTTAATCCCAGTTGTTTTCCATAATCCAGATCTTGTTACTCTATTTGGTCTTACACTGTTCTTGTATTCAATCTCTAAGAATGCTGAAGTTCAACAAATATAAACAAAAACTTCAGCTCCTAAATTGCTGAAGTTCAGCAAATACAAAACAAACTTCAGCCCTGAAGTTCATCACAAACATAACAAAGCTTCAGCTAAAACATGCTGAAGTTCAGTAAATATAGAACAAAACTTAAGCTAAAACATGCTGAAGTTCAGCAAATAGAGAACAAAACTTCAGCTACTAGAATCCTTAAGTTCAGCAATTACAAACAAAAACTTCAGCCAACACTTGGTTAACTTCAGACCCGTCTACTAGAATACTGAAGTTTGCGTGATTGCCTTTGCTACTTCAGGCCCATATGCCTGAGTTATGGGAAAAGTGGGAACGCTTGCAATTTTTTTTGCAAAGCGGGAACTTAATGTTACTCAGTGGCACTATAGTGTAGACATAGTCTTTAGAGTCAGTTTACTCAGATCATACTGTCATTTTCGAAATTTTCCACTTTCTGATTATTTCCATAACTAGCAAAAGTTAATGATGCGTTCTATTCGACCTATAGGCAGTGAAATAATAGATGCTCCAATGGGCCAATATGGCTGTTAAAATCCAAAAATACACTAAGAAAAACATTATTATAGTGTTTTCTATCCTTAACTTACAACATGCTCAAACTTGTACTTAGTGGCACTATTCTATAGACCTATATTCTATGGTCATTTTACAAAGACTCAGATTACACTGGTATTTTCCACTTTCAGAGTATCTCTGATATTACACAGTGGAGATTATTAGACCATCATCACTATCATCTATTACCTTATTAGAATTTATACGCTTGTAACTTGCAATGTACTTTTCGCTGTTGTTGCCAAGGAGGGGTGCAACATCATACTCTTTATCTGGTGATTTTCCTCCGGAATTCCTAAAGTTCTTGCATCGATGTAGTATCTGCAGAACCTCTTTCATGGTAGGCCTACTTGAAGGCAAGTTGCTCGTGCATATAAGCCCGAGTCTGAACACAGTTTTCATTTCTTCCAAGTAACATGCTTCCTTGATCTCTGAATCCAACATATTATCGATGGCATTGTTCCCTTCTCCGTGCTGCTTCCATGCCCATTCTGCAAGGCTCATATGCTCTTCCCCGAAATTTGGTTGTCTTCCTGTCACTAGCTCCAATAGTACCACTCCGAAGCTATAGATATCAATCTTCTCGTTCACTTTCGTTGTATAAGCATACTCTGCAACCAAACAAAACAAATTCATCGTTAGTCGTACTTTTGATAATGTTAAAGAAATTGAGGCAAAGGGTTCATTGGAGAAAAAAGTTCAAGCTTGGATTTTGCTTTTACCTGGAGCAATATAACCAAATGAACCAGCAACAGCCGACATGGTGTGAAGCTCTTCTTTCTTATCTAAGAGCTTAGCCAAGCCAAAATCAGCAATTTTTGCCTTGAATTCAGAATCCAACAAGATATTGCTGGATTTCACATCGCGATGAAGGATTGGTGGAGTGCAATCATGGTGCATGTAGGAAAGTCCTTGAGCAGATCCAATGGCAATTTCCAATCTTGTTGGCCAATCCATGGCTTTATTATTCAATGAACTTCTCTTCTTTCCATGAAGCCATCTATCAAGACTGTGATTTACCATGTACTCATAGACGAGCAACTTTGAATCCTCGCTCGAAATACAACACAATAACTTGACTATATTGGAATGTCTAATTGATCCCAATATCTGAACCTCAGCCAAGAATTCTCTCTCGAGCCTGTAGTCTACTTTCCTATCACTCCAAATCCTCTTCACAGCAATGTATTCATTCAATCTACCAATGCAAATTTTGTACACCTTTCCTGATCCGCCACTTCCAATCATGTTATTTTCAGTCAAACTTGACAAAATGTTTGCCTCAGTGAAATCCAACCTCTGGAATGAAGTCAACTTCCAACTTGCAACATCCCGCTTATGCTTCTTCCTCTTGTAGTCCCTGACCAGGAACAAGGTCGATACAACAGTAAACAGGAAAACAGCGATAGCAAGGACTAGAACCAGAGCTAGAACTCTATGGGACAATCTTTTGGAATTGCTGACTTTGGCATTACAATTTGGAAGATATGGAAGTGAGTTGCTGGTACAAAGGTTGGGATTGTTCAAGAAACTGTTTTCAAAGGCTAAGTTAGCAAATGCATCAGGGATTTTTCCGATAAGCTGATTGGAAGATAGGTTAAGGCTAGTGATCCTCTTTACACCTAATTGAGGTGGAATTGGACCTGAAAATTGATTCTGAGACAAATCTAGAGCAACAAGATCAGGAATTAAACCTATAGCTGCTGGAATCTTACCAGAGAGTTTGTTCTTAGCAAGATCCAAAATTGTCAAAGATTTCCATGATGTTATTTTTGCTGGAATTTCTCCAGAAAATGAATTCCCATCAAGCTCCAGCCGAGTTAGCCTAGAAAGACTAGTCAACTCCACTGGAATCTGCCCCGAAAATGAATTGTTACTCGCCAAAAGTACAACCAAACTAGTCCAAGAAGATATTCCCACTGGAATTTCACCTGAAAACTTGTTGTTATAGATCTCCAACCGCGTAAAATTGGATGCAACTTTACTCGGTAACTTCCCCCAAAACAAGTTATCATTCAATAACAAACTTGTCATGTTAACCAAAGTCCAAACACCAGATGGAATTTCCCCAACAAACTGATTCTTATAGAGCTGGATCGTACGTAAAGTAGAACAAGTTTCAAGTGATTTTGGTATTTCACCGGATAAATTGTTGACATAAGCTACCACACCAAAGAGATTCCCTCCAGCACACAAATGCTGAGGTAAATTTCCAGTGAATAAATTCTGTGAAACTTCAAAAACTTGTAGCTTTGAATGAAGTCCTATTTCAGATGGTAAACTCCCATTCAATTTGTTCCTGAATACTTTGAATACCTTCAAAGTTGGAATCTTGGCTATGCTTTCTGGAATTTCTCCATACAATTGGTTTGAAAACAGATTCAGAATTTCCAATTGTTTCAATTCTCCAAAACTTTCAGGGATTTTTCCAGTCAAATTGTTTGAGCTAATGTCAAGTTCAATCAAATTTGATGACTTATTAGTTTCAGGAATCAAACCCGAAAGCTGATTACTGTACAAGTAAGCATATGTCAAATTCTTTAACAAGAACAATCCAGATGGAATTTCTCCTTCAAGATTGTTATAAGCCAAATCAATATGCTCAAGACTTTGAAAATTCCCGAAACTTTCAGGAATTTTGCCAATCAAATTCGCTTGTCTCATCCAAAAATACTTCATTTTCTTCAGCTTCTCAAACTCCGGCGGTATTCTCGCCGGAGAAAACCCATTAAACGCCAACCCCAGATTTTCAAGATTGGCTAAATTTCCGATTTCTGCCGGAAATGTTCCATCAAACAAGTTCATATGCAAGTACAAGCTCTCCAACTCCGTTAAATTTCCGATCGTCGGCGGGATATCTCCGGTGAAGTTGTTACCACCCAAATCAAGATACTTGAGTTTCTTAAGACGGTTAATATCCGCCGGAATGGGACCCACAAAATAGTTCTGAGAAAGGTCCAAGTGTTCAAGACTTGAACAGTTGTATAGAAAAGTTGGAAACTTTCCGGGGAGAAAATTCAAAGCAAGATTGAGAAAAGTTAGATTTTTGAGGTCACAAATGGAACTCGGAATTTCGACAGTAATGTCTTTTTCTTGAAGTATTATTCCTCTGACTTCTCCATCATCGGAGCACTCAATTTCCGGCCAATCACACGGCGAGGAAGTAGAGTTCCATGAGCTGAGTGATAATGGGTTTCCCCATTGACGTTTTATCTTCAGTAGAATATCACGTTCATTGGTGGTGACCAGAGATTGTGAATTTACCAAAGTGGGTATAAAGTTCAGCAGCAGTATGAGGTAAACGGACTGCTTTCCGGTCAACATTCCGGTGATCATGGCGGTCGGAAAAACGAGGGGGAATTATGAGTTGATTTTTGAGTGTTTGGTCAACATTAGAGTGTGAACAAAAAGACAATTCCACAAAATATAATATATAGAAGATATGGTATAAGAACAGAGCATCATTAAAATAACTAAGTGGGAGAGTAAAAGTAATGATTCTAATGAAGCTTCCATTGAGCTGCCTAACGCACAAAAAGCTTCGAGATTTGGGTCCCTTTTTTTTACTGTCTTTCGTCCACAATAAGTGATTTTTTTATTTTTATTTATGATCTAAAATAAGTGAATTTTTAATTTCAAAACTGAATTAATTATTATTTTTTTACATTGCCCTTAGAGTAAATAGTGTTGGAATATGTGTTAGAAGCGTTTATATAAATAGATAGTAAAGATTAATATGGTCAATTTCATTGCTAATTACTCCCTCCGATCCAAAATAAGTAATTTTTTGGCCTTTTTCTCGTGGTCCAAAATAAGTGATTTTTTCAGATTTCAAGAATGAATTAATTATTTTTTTCCTACATTGTCTTTGGCGTAAATAGTGTTGGAATATGTGTTAGGAGTGTTTATGTGAGATAGTAAAGGTTAATATGGTCAATTCCATTGTCAATTAATGCTAAAAGGTGGATTTCTTAATCTTGTGAAAACATCCAAAAAATTACTCCCTCCGGTCCAAAATAAGTGATTTTTTGGCTTTTTCTTGTGGTCCAAAATAAGTGATTTTTTCAGATTTCAAGAATGAATTAATTATTTGTTTCCTACATTGTCCTTGGCGTAAATAGTGTTGGAATATGTGTTAGGAGTGTTTATGTGAGATAGTAAAGGTTAATATGGTCAATTCCATTGTCAATTAATGCTAAAAGGTGAATTTCTTAATATGTGTAAAAACATCTAAAAAATTACTTATTTTGAACCGGAGGAAGTAATAATAAAAGATGAACTTTTTAATCTGTGTGAAAACCGTCAAAAAAATCATTTATATAGGCCGGAGGGAGTATTTTGTTTGACTATTGAAAAGTTTTCAGCTCAAAGAGCTCAGCGAACTGTGCGTTAGCCGTCCAACAACCACCCACAAATATTAAATGTTTGGAGTTGCACTCAAAATTTTCTACTTCATTATATCTCGAATATTAGTCTTTTTGATAAAAATTTGCTTTAAACTCATCTCTATTGCTTTATTAAATGGAATATTAATTGAATAGAACTTTTAAAAGAGAAATAACTGATTTTTAAACAAATACTCCCAGAACACTATTAAATAACTTTCTTAAAAGACAAATAATATAAGATGACTATAGTATTAAATATTCTATTTGTTCTAATTTATTTGGCAACTTTTATTTATCAAGGTGAATTCGGTCAATTTTTATTAAAATTAATTAGATAATATTAGAGAATTACACAAAAAGCACTAGAAGTTAGATTTTTTTATTCTAATATCAAAATAAGGATTAATAATATAAGTTGCAACATTTGTAAAAATTATAATTAATAAAAACAGGAAAGTAGCTCATAATATCTACTTGAAAAGTCTTTATATTTTACACGAAATGACGAAGACATGTTTCAACTGTTAGTCAAAGTTTTATTTGTTTTTAACTTTCTAGAAACAAAAAATCGATAAATATAATGAGACTGCAAAAACCATAATTTCTGTCTACCATTTCTTCTTTAGGTGTTCCTTTAGCATCTAGAAACAACATTGCAAGAAATAGTCTTAGTTTTATTTTTATTTTAGAAATAGTCTTAGTAATTTTAATAAATAAGACTAATAATATTCGTAGGTAATATTATGGTTAATAAAAAGAGAGTTGGATTATCTTATCTAACCTGAAATATTGTCCTTATAATTTGACAAGTTTTTGTTCAAATTTGTTTTTTCTAGAGGGGGCTCACTAGTCACTAGTCTACAACAACTAATGGAAGTATTTGCCAAAAAAAAAAAAAAAGAAGGTAAATCTTATAGGAGTATGTCTATCTAACTAAATTGACCACAAAAAAGATGGTGTATAAAAAAGAAATCTACTTAATTTAATAATGATATTAAGTAAGAGACACTGATGATTCATGAAATTAATTCTTTTAGTGAAAAAAAAAAATAGTTGCTAATATAGTTATTGTCAATAACTCTTTTGAAAATATAATGAAATCAAATTATAAAGCTAGCCAATTATGTTGTACAAATAAGCCAAGATTGTTATTTCAGGGAAGGCGGATTTAGGGGACAGAATGGGTGTTTGACCAAAAAGTATTAAGCTCTTTGTTAAACTAATCAATGAGAAAATAGAGGATAAATCTTAGCCAAGAATGATTAACTTTAGATTAACGCGCGTTAAATACGGGAATACAATATAATCAAGCTTATAACCTTTTTCAGGATTATAAAAGATATCAAACATAAACGATAGGCTTACATTCTTGACGTACTATTCCGTAATGTAAGAACAAAGAAGAAAAAGAAGGAATGCCATTGACAACTATGTGATCTATCTTTATTGATCCAACAATGACAATTACAAAGATTTGCAACGAAGATCTAGACCTTCGCTTTATTTTCCTCAGAGACTTTCTCCGGTTTCGCTGTCTCTTTTTCGTGAAGGAGAGAAGCCCCCCTTTTCTGTTCTCTCACCTCCTATATATATTACAAGCATTTCCTTTTGTTCAACGGTCCTTAGCCAGAATACCCTAATTTGCTGATTGTACTTTAGGTTGTTCCCCTTAAGTGTCACGACATATACTTCGCCGTATAGGCTTTCTGATAGTTCGACTCGGCAGTGGCCGAGATACTCATCGTTATGATGCCTAGTGGATATAACCACGGCTTAGTCGGCCCCTTGCCATTCCTTATAACACTAATCAACGTAAGGTCAGATTTTGACCCATACAAGGGGGTTTATCCGAATCCCATTCGCCGAAAAATTACACTATATATATGAGGCAAAATTCGTTTTGTGCCTCTAAATATTATTGAATTTCATTGCCACAACTCAAAATCATAACTTAATGATCAAAAGAGTTCAAAACCTTTGTGAGGTTATTGGTTCAGTTCCCACTGTCTACCATTTATTTGCTTAGCGGATACTCCTATCGTGTCTCCACCATTGAATATTTAGGGAGTCGCATTTATGGTGAACACTTTACTTTTCAATATGAATATTTTCGATGCAAATTCGGATTTGGTCGAACTCAAGTAAATGAGAAACCAACAACTAGTGTAGCTAAATACAAATGTTAAAATAATTGACAAATAATGGAGTAATTCTAAAAGAGTTTGCATTTATTTTTGTTCCCAAATCTTCTCATGAGGATCATCTCATGTGGACCCCACTGAAGAGTTGCCTTTAAGTTTTCAGACATGGTCTAAGTCGTGCAAAACCAGAACTCTTAAACGTTGAACTCCACCCTTAAAAGCCAACTACTAGTCTACTACTAATAAACAAACAAATCTTTACTAATTTAAGGATTGCTGTTATAGACTTGTAGTTGTTGAAATTTTAGCCTCAAATAACTTATACGTAGGATTTAAATCTCACATAAAGTTTTTTATTCTGTTTTCTTACTTTTACTATTATTCATGAGCTCACTCACTGGAGACTGGAGTAACAGTTCTCCATATATATTTTCAAGATACAAAAAATTAATTGCAATCACAAAAATTAAAAAAATATAATTTTATTGATAAACAATTATGAATACACTTTTATTTATTCTCTTGTTTTTTTTTTCTGGATCGTTCTTCATGATTCGAGGGATTAAACAACGTGCGTCTCGATCGTAAAATGATACAAACTTTATTGAGATGTATTTGACTTTATAAAAAGAAAGAATATTTTTTGGCGGTTTTAAAAAGACAATATTTGATGTCTTTGATTTTTTTTTGTAAATGTTCCATAAATTTGTGCAATTTCTCGAGATGAGCTACTCATTGGAAAAACAGAAAACGATTAAAAAACCCTTGCGTATTGAAATTCATGACTGTAACGACCCAACATGCCGTTTCGAGCAATTGCGTCCGATTCGGCAGTTTGAGGTCATGAGTAACTTCACATGGTGTATTATGACTTGCATGCATCATCGACTGTTGTTTTTGAGAGGTTTGGAAAGGATTTTAAGGAGTGACTCTCATTTGAGAAGCTCGAAGTTGAAAGAATTGACAAAGGTTTGACTTTTGAGTATTCGACCTCGGATTGGAGTTTCAATGATTCCGATAGGTCCGGATAGTGATTTCAGAGTTGGGCGTATGTCCGAAATATCATTTGGATGTTTCTAGAGGGTTTCAGCATCATTTGGCGGAAGTTGGCAATTTAAAGGTTTAGAATTTTCCTAGGTTTGACCATGGTTTTTTGTCACGACCCCAGTTCGCCCTCCGTGAATATGTCGTGACGGCACCTAGTCCCTACGACTAGGTAAGCCTAACAATGCGGAAGATAAACCATAGTTGCGGAAGAAAGTAAATAAAACTGAACTAGAAAAATAAAACAGTGTTTAAGGTGCCGCTCGGCACATACCACAACAATTCTCGAAGCTAACAACATTCTCAAAACCCGGAAACTCACAAATCACAAGCCAAGGGATACATAAGAGGCTCTGACTCAAGAATATCTATATAAGGGAGAAATACTGAAAGAGCTATACTTATTACAGAAATCTGGAAAGGGACTCCTCGGTCTGCGGACGTAGCAAATATACCTCGAAGTCTCTACCGATACGCCTCCTTCCAAGTCTGACAGAACTGAGTGGGAGTACCTGTATCTGCACAACAAAAATGTGCAGAAGAGTAGCGTGAGCACACCACGGTGGTGCCCAGTAAGTATCAAGACTAACCTCGGTGGAGTAGTGACGAGGAACAGTCAAGGCACCTACCGATCAAATAAATAGTATAATCATAGGAATAATGAAAACGATATATAACATGTAAAGACTGCATGAATGACTACAAGTGCTACAATTCACGTTAAGGAAAAAAAAAGGCAACAAGTAACAACAAGACTATAATAAATAATGATACGAAATGACGCAGAATCTTAATCCAAATCCTAAGGTCACAACACAGCAAGGGGGAAACAAGTCAATAACTCATATCCTACAATGATGATCACATAAGGTCATATTC